ACTAGCAGAAAGTTTCTCTCTTGCTATGGGAGGCTGTGTCTAATTATACTTTGGTGAGCTCCACTGACAGTGAACTACAGGTGACCATTAGACACATCCGTGGCACTACACTGTAGCTTACCATTTCTTTGCTAAACATTTGCTTGCTTGCTTAGCTGGCTGATTTGCTTTGAGGGAGAAAGCTACTGGGCACTTTAACTACAGTATATCTATGACTAGACAGTGAGACTGTCTAGTCATAGATATAGTTAAAATGCCCAGTTGCTTTCTCCCTCAAAGCAAGCTTTATATGATAACTTTGCCATCAGTACATAATTAAATTATCTAGTTTATAGTACAATCCTATTCCTGAATTGTACTAGTGGGATGAATCTCTTAACAGTGCTGCCAACTTGTTTATAGGGACATGTCCTGTGTCAACATAGCAACAGTGGCTTCTTAAACCCACAGGATTGAGGAGGGAAGCTGTAGTGGAGCAATAATCATAGAATCATGAAGTTGGAAGGGGCCTATAAAGCCATCAAGGTCAACCCCCTGCTTTGCGCAGGAATCTAAATCAAAGCATACCTCACAGATGGTTGTCTGGGTTTTTTTTCTCTCGACTATCTCTTGATATCTTACACTGTTCTGACAAATAACCTAGTGAAAAACCCACAACATGATGGGGAAGTAATGGTCCATCAAGGATGTGGTATGTGAACAATGGAGGAATGGTCATCTTAGCTCAGATTCTTAGGAGGATATGAAAGGGCCATGGGGATCCTGTTTGCCAGAATGAGTTGCTTCTGACTGTTTATAATACATTTGTATTTCAAGGTGGTCTCTTGCTCCCCATGTTGTCCTCACAACAACAATCCTGTGAGGCAGGTCAGTTTGAGAAAGTGTGTCTGGACTCATTGAGTTTCATATCCAAGAGAAAACATGGATGCAGGTCTCTTTAGTTGAATGTTCCAGCCACTACTCATGCTGACTCTCCCTTCTTACCCAAATCAATAAATTACAGCATTTGCTTTGCCATGGGAAGCACTGCGGATTTCTCCTGGCAAACCGGTGTCTTGTTTATCCAGACATTCCCACTGTTGCTGCTTGTACTATTGCAACAGGTTGGTGTTGATGATTTTCCTACATAAGGCATTCTGTGGAAATGGCTAGTACTGTCCTGTTAACCTTTTTTTTCCTGCTACTAAGATTCAGCTAGAAAACCCTATATGAAAGGTGCCATGAAGCTAAGAAGTAGTTTTCCAGCGCCATCTTGTGGAATCAACTGTCTTAAGTAGGGAATTGAGCTATGGAGGATGCCTGCCTAACCATATAGCTGGTCAGAAGGATACCGAACAAAGGGTCAGATCACAAGTTAAGGCAGATACGTATTCTTGCCTCTTACACTTTCATCTGTCCAGACAAATTAATTTTTCAGTTTTAGAATGCCAAAGACATCAAACATTGAAGCAAAGCCATTGTATCCCCTGATGGAGCCGTTACCAAGAAGAAGAAGAAGAAGAAGAAGAAGAAGAAGATTAATTTGTCAGAGGGAGGCAAGCCCTTGTCTGAAGGGCTCCCTCTGTCAGAAGCAGAGGGAGGCAAGCCCTTTTTCTTCTTCTTCTAAAGGAACCTTCCTTCTGATGACATGTTAAATGCATTCTTGAGTCCGGCCTTTTAGCTACTGAGAGCCAAGAGAATGAGCAACATTTCTGAATAATTTTGCACACGTCTCCAAGTTCTTTGCACTTTGATGGCAGCTCCTTCTGAGCTGCTGCCAAGCTTCTCTCACCCTTTCTTTCACAGAGCAGAAATTTCTTTTGTGCCATTTTATTTTCACAGATATGACTGGTATTAGTTGTCTGTCTCTTCTGATAGTCCTATTTCACAAATACAGCTGCTTATCCGTAAATGTTGGACATTTATCCATGAATAGTAATGTATTATATTTCTGCCAGGTGTCTTGCAGTCATTATAAAACATATTGCATGCCATGTGTCTGAGGATGCAGATTGGAACCCATGAAAGCTCAGACTAAAATAAGCCGGTTACTCTTTTACAACAGTTTTGTCTTCGTTTTTTTGTTTGTATTTCATATACGTGCCCTAAATGAAGTTCAGTCTGTATCAGAAAAGGAGAACACGAGGTTTACAACACAGAATAAGCCATTCTGTTATGCCTCCTTTAAAAAGCAGATTATTTTTCTTTTTTTTTAATAAGCTCCACAACCTTAATCCCTAGAAACTGCACTTCTTAATCTCCCAGATTTCTGCTATGACTAATTTTGCAACAAAGATTAGGTTTGTCATAAAAAGCATGTTTTCCCCCCACTGTAGGGCTGCATGAGGTGTAATGTGCAAATAATGAGCTGAATTTTGTATTGCAGTAGCTGCATTGGTGCAGCTTGCATTTTGTATTTTATTTTGTGTTATTTGAAATGTACTGATGTTTTATTGTTGTTCTGTGCAACGGCATTCTTGTCAGTGTGTCCAGAGAACTTGTGAGACTACTGCTACTTGCTTTTAGTTCTGATTAATATTGGTCGATCATTACAGTAGATGATGCTACTCCAGCTGGCTGGAGATGGTTTTCTCAGTATCATGTACAGAAGACAGTACTGAAATCCCCCAGAAACCCCTACTACTGATTTCTGGGAAGTAAATGTACTTTGTTTCCAGACTGCTATGTTCAGTGGACAGAAATACACAGTTTAAAAAGGTAGAAAGGTCCCAATCATTGGCTCCCATCAGCAAATCCTATTAGCCTGCAAGCTGTGTTAAGAAAGGAGTAGTTAATAATTGTCCAGTGGCTTGCTATGAGTGGTGTCATGGAACCAGGGCTTGCAAGATCCAAGTCTCATGATCTTTTGAGTAGCAGAAACGATGACACAATGTGGTTCCTTGTTCCCTCGGAGTTTAGCTGCAATCCTCAGGGTTGCTGGAAAAGAAAGGATTCCCCCCCCCCAAGAACTGGATATTGTTGGCACCCATTCCTGTAGTAGCCTAAAACATCTGAGGGTGATTTGGTCTTGAAGGGTCAACAGGGCTGTAATTAAAGCAGGATAACTGGGCTTTGCCCCTGGGGCACCAAAATAGAGAGGCCACCAAAAATTTAGCAGTACATCTACTGTTGGGTGTTAGGAAAATAAATGGTAATCCTCCCCAACCCTATTAAATTTGCTTCCTCTTCTTCCTCCCTCTTCTTTTTGAAAGTAGGAACTTTTTCTTTCATTGTGCTGCTCCTGTTTTCTTGGTGGGGGTTCATGCTAATATCTGTGGGCTGAGTGGGTGGGAGATGAAGTTATTTGCCCTGGTTGCCAAAATTTTTAGTTATAGCTCTGATAGGCAGTTAAAGCTCTTAACCTTTCTAAAATACTTAATTGTTGATATGTGCTGACCCAGCAGCCTTATGAGGTGAGAATTTCCTTATGGGTGCTGTCCCAGTCAGTCCCTGCAATTCCAGGTTTAGCACCACAGCATTGCATACCAGTAAACAGTCATCTTTCTGCAAGCATAAGTGGTGCAACAAGATTTCAGCCATTATGTATCACAGAATTGTCTCTTCAGCTCCACCAAGGGAAAAATCCATTCTCTGCTTTGCTGTTTAGTGGTTCTGCAAAATATCTTGCCAGTTTTTATAACTGGAGCAAGTATAATGAAATAAGAGGTAATGCAGATAAACACACTGGCCAGAGAGGGACTAGGAAGAGGCTGTCATTAGACTCCAAAGCATGCTAATGTTGCAGTGGAGTGATTGAGTCAGTCTTTCCATGATTGTGACCAAAGGAATCCTATGTTTAAATCTAATCACACACAAAAAAGCAAGCTAATTTGCCTATTTCCAGAGGTGAGAGGAGCTTGTGCTTTGAGAATGAGGTGCTCACACTAGTTAAGAATTTCCCTGTTCCAATCACGGGCTGTCTTTAAAATCCCTTTCTGGCCTCATCTTCAAGGAAACTTCATCACTTGGGCAGCATTATCTCATTCATTTATGTCTGTAATTCCCTACAGTACTGATATGTGCTATTCTGTGTAGTACAACCACTAATATTCACACGTATCAACATAAGCACCACGTACCCCTGACTCACGAACCAAATATTTGTGACTTGCTCAGAAGTTTGGTTAGGGATCCTACATCCCCTGTGGATTCTGAGAGCTCCAAGAGCAAAACTCCCTTCTTTTATAAAATCACAGCACTACCTTAACTTAAAATTTAATCATTGAAAAGAAGAAGAAGCATGTCCGTATTATCAAAAGCATCTACATTAGTTCCTTACCACAACTGCTTCTATATGGGCACCTTCTAATGCTACTAAGCTTTGCTTTTCTGCTTTGATTTATAAGAGTGATGGAAATTTAGGGCTCTACAATGGGCTCATAATTTGATTCAGCATCCAATTCAGGAATTTGGATTTGCCTTCAATTCAGTTCAGGCTGGTTCACAGTGGATCTGATCTCATTCAGATGGAAACTGAATTACTATTTAGAAATTAAAACAAATGAAGTGTTTTTCCCCCACACATGCATGAAATTTGGGGACTTGATACCTAATTGGGAGGGATCAGACCCACCGGATCTTCTGCAAATAGGTCCTGGGATATTTGTGCTATCATAGCTCAAGGTTCATCTTTATGCAGGACATAACCTTTTGGGTTGTTCATGTAGATTAGTGGTTTCTAACCTTGGGTAACCCAGGTGTTCTTGGAGTGCAATTCCCAGAAACCCCAGCCAGCCCAGCTGGTCGCGAAGGTTTTGGGGAATTGCAGCCCAAGAACACTTGGGTTACCCAAGGTTGTGAACCACTGATGTACTTTAAGTACATAAAAATTTAGAAATACTAGACCCTTCTGAAAGCATTCACCTTGCCGTATTTTAGAAAGGTATGTTTGGAAATAGAATTAATCTGAGACTGAGAAATCATTCTCATTAATTTGACATTCAACATTAGAAGACACTCTGAATTTTCTTATGGCATCATCCTATCTGTCCATTCTGTTATCCATGCTCTCTTTCTTTCAGGCTGGTGTAGATGGAGAAAGCATTGGGAACTGTCCTTTCTCACAGCGTCTCTTCATGATACTTTGGCTCAAAGGAGTTGTATTCAATGTTACCACAGTGGACCTGAAAAGGTAAAGAATAAAATTATTTGATCAGTCATAATGATGTCCATAATTTTGATCTCTCATTGGGAAGAACACAGCTGTACCAAACAGTGATCAAGTACTTCCCTTCAAATTCTGTTGGTAATCTTGGTTTTCTTATGCTGATATGAAAATCTTACTTGGCTGATTAAGATTATTCTGAGTGCAGTAACAGGAGTAAAGGGCTGATTTTTTTTAAGTACTACAAAACCAAAAGGGAATGTGCTTAGTAATCACATATATGATTAACGATACCCTGCATTTTTTTCCTTCCTTCTACAGAAAGCCAGCTGATCTACATAACTTAGCTCCTGGGACCCACCCGCCATTCCTGACGTTTAATGGGGAAGTAAAGACAGATATCAATAAAATTGAAGAATTTCTGGAGGAAACCCTTTCGCCTCCCAAGTAACAAATTATAACATTTATAAGATTTTCATAGGATTATGATACAACTTCCAATCAAAATATATAGAAGTAAAGGATATAACTGCCACCCCAGTACCTAGTTTGTGTTATAATTAGATGGTTTGCTTCACAGCTCCATCAAATGGGGTGAAATTTTTAAAGTCTTCCAACTCTTCATTTCTTTTCCTCCCTCTGCCACCCTGACAGACACCTGATCTGGTACTAATTTGATTGTGGGCTTCTGGCCAAAACTCCTTGCTATGGGACTTCCTTTTTCATATGTTTCCAGCTCAAGCATTCCTGTTTCAAACAAAGCCCAAACACGGGACCTCAACCTCTTAGCAGGCTGCCAAGTTGTTTCACCTAGTCAGCTGTTTGATTTGTTTGCCCGTCCATGTGCCCCAGAAGTCGAAGCTCTCAATTAAATGACATAAGAACTGCAACTTAAGCATATATAAACATTATTTGTGTGAATCTGGATGTTTCCATTGTTGATATATAGTGTAAGAACAGGCAAATATTGTGGGGTGCCTTTCATTTCCATAACAGGCCTGCCAAAGAGTGTCTGTTGTCTGCTGGATTTCTTTTTTAGTGGTCTAATAAAGGCATCACCTGTTCCTGCATTTGTTTTGAAAAATCATTCGTTGATCAACAAGAATGTTTCTCTGCATGACAAACAGTGCCTGCAGTGTAGGTGTGTGTATAGGTGTCTTATAATACAGTACAGAGAATTCTCTTGTGAAACAACCTTTTCTTTTTTACAGGTATCCCAAGCTTGCGGCTAAGCACCGTGAATCAAACACTGCAGGCATCGATATATTCTCTAAATTCTCTGCATACATCAAAAACACAAAGCAGCAGGACAATGCCAGTAAGTTTGACAGTGCCAGTCACTTCTGGCCTCCCTTCTCATTTTCAGTTATTTCTTTCCCTTTCACTGATTACAACTGTCTATTGCCCATGTATCACCTGAAGAAAATATCCAACTCCAGGTGTCAAAACCCTGCCCACAGAGACATATTTCAGACCTTTTGCTTGTGGAATGTCCTCTCCCATTGACAAAATCCTGTCCCTTCTTTTCCCTCCCGAATACTTGTTCAAACTCTGGCAATTTGCTTGCCAGAAGGCAGGAGGAGCAAGAAGTCCCATAAGCAGCAGCCCTGGGCCTCACTTTAGTAAGCACAGGAAATCTCTGTGTGAGTGAAACAAATGATTCAGAAATTGTCACTGGATTAGCACTGGGGGGGGCGGGAGAGACTTCATGGATGCAGCTCATTTTGGGGAGATGTGAATCCCACGTGGTAAATCTGAGCTGCTTGTAGATTCTTTCCCCCCCCCCCTTAAACTCATGTCAGGCCCCAGTCTCTCTTCCTGTGCAATAGCTTCTGCCAGCCCTCTATGCAGCAAGTGTATTTCTAAGATCATTCTTCCTGTTCTTAAAGGCTTGATTCCATAGCTCCGTGGAGTTGGATGGGATTTTGGAAGTTTTGATTCCTTTCCCCTAGAAATATTGTGTTTCTCCTATATCAGAACAGGATATGTACAGATATACTTTTAGTGAATCAAAACAGAAGGGATGTTTCTTCACTTTTTAAATTGCATTTTTAATGAATGAAGAGGAGATTAAAGTTAGAGGAAATTTCTTTATAGGTCTGCTTATCTTCTGTGTAGATGATTAAAGCTAAAATTCTATATTCCCCTTCTCAACAGATATACAATAATAGCTTTAATTGATTATAGTTACTAAACATGGGTGGGAGGGAGGTGTAGTGCACCCTAATGCAGCTGTTTACCTGAAAGACTCAGGGTGTGACTACATGGAAATTTGATCATACAAACTGCAATTTGATTTGCAGCCTTCATTACATCTGGGCATTCACTTCATACATGATGTGATGTGAGACACATTCCAGCCTATAAGCCCCCTTCTTTCCTTCCTTCCTCTGGCCCCACCTCTGCCAAGCCTTTCTTCTCTGGTCACAGCTCCACTGATTGTTTTATGAGGTGTAAATGTGGGAAATGGTAATAATGAGGACCAAAGTGATAAGATGATAGGGTGAACTACCACTAATCTCATATATGTAAGAATGTAATTATTTTTTTAATTGGAGGACTATAGGGGGAGAGGAAAGAAGGTGGAGGCATGTCTCCCTGGGCCTGAACTGCCTACATCACCAAAACTGCCTATCAAAACTACATCACCTGAACTGCTTACATCACTCAATTGCCTACATCACCGAACACCACTTAGAGAATAGCCCCCATCTTTATACAAACATATCACAATTAACCACATAGGAAAAAAGGCCATTCAGATTGCTCTAACTTCAAAAGGTAGAACCATCCCTCCCAGTGGCAGAGAAAAAAAAATCCACTTCTGCAGCAAAAAGGGCCGGACCAATTCAAACCAGCCATTGCATCACACAGTCAGTAAAAACACATCAAACTCACCCATTTTATAAGTGGGGCAAATCCATTGGTAGTTGCACTCTCAGCGAAAAAAAAACAAAACAAAACTAAACTAAAAATACATCCCTGTTATGTCTACTTAAAACAAAGTCCCACTTTAGCCAGGAATGTTTAGTCCCATGTATGTGGATACAGGATTGCAGCGTACGTGTCTTCTAATTGGAAATAAACCTGTACCCACCCACCTGTAAACAAACAGTAGTATTTATTTCTGAGTACATCTGCATTGGTTTGCATTGCATGCAAGAAGAACCCCTGAACATTTTGCTTGGGAGTATGCCTTAGTGAACACTGAAAGTGATGCCTGGGTGCATGTGCAGAGTGCATAAAATGGAACAAAGGAGTGAAAAACACACGCATTTCTTACCCTTACAGTGGAAGGTTAACAGATTTTAAACCTATAGATATGGACAGCTTGAAATGAAATTGTAGTTCTTCTTTGCATCAAGATGATGGTCCTCTTTTCTTCCTCACTGACTCATATATCCCAGAATACCGAATGTGCACTTCTTGTGTGCGATCCACTTGGCAATCAATAAAAGTCAAAGACTGCCTCTCTAGTTTACCTACATTGGTCTTAAGGGAACAGCATTCTCCTTGAGGGCTAGAAACTCAGCTTCTCTGATATATCCACACACTGAGCGAACACCTACATAGTAGGTAGATAGTCATACAGATGGAACTCAGTGCAGCACATGGATAGCCTTCACCCTCCTGCTGGCTTTCTGTTTTCACAGCCTTGTTCGGTTGGTAGTGGGGAACCTCTATTACGTTTGAGTAGAAGAGGATGAGTGACCTACTTTCTGCAACCTGTTACAAAATGCCCATGGTTGCTTAAATAATTCCACCCGTCACACTTTAATTGGGGCAGAGATATCTCACTGTGGTCTTCCTCATGATGTCCAGACCATTATATTGGCCAGACCTCCAGAAATAATCACTCTATTCTACTCCTTGCTGCTCAGACCTGTATCTGATTCTGGCTGCTGAATTTTTGGAAGCCAAACAAACTTCAGCATGTCAAAAGCAGGATAATATAAAACAAAAATGGGGTTTTGGTTCATGGTTTGTCAAGATAGATGAATCATGAATTTATGAATGTTTTACCAATGAACTGTGAATCAGTTTGTCAGTTTGTTGGTGCTTGGTTTTTTTTTTAAGACAGCTAGTGGCTATCTTAAAAAAAAAAGTTGAGCTCTCCGCCCCCACAGCTTGTCCCCTGCCATCCTCCCACTGCCCCCATCGCCTCCTTACCTTGTACTGCTGCTTCCGCCACTGTCTCCATCTTTGCATATGGCAGCAGCGGCTTCTATTCTGGCAGTCTAGTCTTCCCTCTCTGCCAATGTGCCTGAGGAACAGCTGATCCATGGGGGCATAGGCAGAGAGGGAAGCCACTGTCCTGGAAGCCTAGCCTTCCTTCTCTGCCTATGCTCTTGAGAAATAGCTGATCTGCAAAGGTGGCTTATCCCTTGGGGCATAGGTCTTCTAGACTCGGAGCTTAAAATACATGTTGTTTGGATCTCCCTCATATTGTGCTTGGCCACGCCCATGGCACTGAGTGCCTCGGTTCCTTTTTTGCTGCCGCTGCAGCAGCACATCAGCTTTGGAGTTTCTGATTCCTCTCAGAATGGCGCAGTCATATAACACCCAACAATACCAGCCACATAACACCTGGCATTGCCCCTACATTTACCAGCAATATAGCCCCCCCTCTGGATTGCCAGCGACCACAAGTCTCTAATGTACTTCCTGCCTTATTCCATCAGCAAGCAGTGAGACAGCATCGGTATCAGTCCACCTGCTGACCTGACCAGAAGACAAGACAGAATCTTTGGCTTCTTCCAGACAGCAATACTGGACAATTACATGACTCAACTAGCCCCATTTTTCCGTACCTGGCAACACATCAGCTTAGACACCTCGGTTCTTACCATGATTGCCACAGGCTATGCCACTGAATTCGATACTAGGATCTTCAAAACTACCAACCCCTCTCCTGTTGGAGGAGGAGATATGCTCCCCACTACAAAAGGAAGCCATCTCAAGAGTTCATCATGCAGATGTTGCCCTCGGGTTCTATTTCCAATACTTTTCAGTCCCAAAGAAAGATGGTGGTCTTCGTCGCATCTTAGATCTCTGCCACCTCAACTCTTACATCTCCCCAAGGCGGTTCTGCATGGTCACCTTGGACAACACTATCCAGTTACTCCAACATGGTGATTGGTTCACTGTCATAGATTTAAAGGACACTTTCTTCCACATAAACATATGTCTGGACCATCACAGATATCTCAGGTTTTCCTTCCAAGGGTCAACATATGAGTTCAAACCCTTCCATTCAGTTCATCAACAGAGTCGCGGGTATTTACAAAATGTCCTGCACCTGTAGCTGCATATCTCCGCCTCCAAGCATCACTGTCTTCCCATACTGGGACGACTGGCTTCTGGTATCTTTGTCCTGTACCAAAGCAGAACAAGACATCGAGCACTCTCTGTCCCTTCTATCAGACTTGGGGCTCCAAGTCAGTTTCACTAAATCTACTCTCGAACCATCCCAGCGAGTCACCTATATAGGAGCAGCTCTTGACTCTATTCGAGGCCGTGCCTTTCCATCAAGAGACAGACAGGAGAATTTTCGCTCCCTCCTGTGATTTTTCTGCCTTCTTTGTTAAGATCACATCAGATCTTAGAGCCAGTGAACTCTCTACCCTTCTTCTTGATCCACCCTTTCTCCACTTTCACTCGGACAACGTCACACTTTATCCTGACCTCACATTCCTGCCTAAGGTGGTTTCTAATTTTCACCTGAAGCACCCAGTTGTTCCATCTACATTCTTCCCTTCATCTACGTCTGACCTAGAATGATCCTTGCATTCTTTAGATGTAAGATGTTCCACCTCCTTTCGTAAGTCTGAAATGCTTTTCATCAGCTATCATAGTCACTCTAGAGCAGCGATGGAGAACCTATGGCATGCGTGCCACAGCTGGCATGCAGCACCCTTTCTGCAGGCACGTGAGCCATAAGTTGCTGGATCACTACCCCCCCCCACAGCCAAACCTCAGGAGGTGGCTACAGGTGGCAGTCCAGGATCCAGAACAACTGGCACTGGCGGCAGATCCGGAGTGGGGTCTCGAGGCACCTCTGTGCTTCGGATTCCCCCTTCCGCCACCACTTCCATTTCCACCACCACCGCAATCTGCCACCCACTGGTGGTTTTTTTTTCACTTTGGGCACTCAGTCCCAAAAAGGTTCGCTGCCACTGTTCAAGGGGTTCCTCAGTCACCTCTCAGATGATCTCTAAATGGATTGTATTGTATCCCAGAGCCGTAGCAACATCTACGGCATTTCTTAGAGGGGGTGCACTAACTGACATTTGCAAAGCAGCCACTTGGGCTACTCCA